AGCATTAGGGATAAATATACCACATGCAATATCAATGACTAAAATAAAATGAGGTGTAAATTAAGAGGCTGAAATGAAAATACATAAAAATTAAATGTTGGAAATTAAAAGGACTGAAGTAAAATGCAAGAAATTAAAGGGGCAGAAAAATAAAATAATGAAATTTAAAGTGCTGGAAAAATAAATAAAATTAAAAAAAAGAAAAATATTGCATAAATTTAAAAGTTAGGGGGTTATTTTTAACCATTTAACTCATACCATAAATAATACAGGTTGTCCCCCAGGGCGGGTCACCGCAAGGTCGTTGAATATTCAAACGTTAGAAAATTAGCGAGTTAGTTTGTGCGATAAAATAAAATGTTAGTAAGAACAATAAAAATAAAAAGTTAGTATGTTAGTATGAACAAATAAATAAAAGTTAGAATGTTAGTTCGAACGATAAAATAAATGTTAGAATGTTAGCTCGAACAATAAAATAAAAATTAGAATGTCAGTAAGTTAGTGACTAAATTAAAATAAGAAAAAATAATGAGCATAAATCATAATAAATAAAACATGAAAGATAAATTGAAAGTAATGGAAGTAAAGTGCCAAAAACAAAATAAGTAAAAAAACATAAATTCAGGGACCATTTTGTAAAAACACGACAATGTTAGAGGGGCTTCAGCATGATTTTTCCATTTTTAGGCTTATAAATACCCTATTTTAGCCATTTTGTGTAAACATTAAACCCTATCCACTTAAAATATTATCCGCCTCTTTTTTTCTCTTAACATCTCTTATTTCCACACCCTGGCCGAGCCTTCTAAAGCCAAAATCTCGGCCGACCATCGTAGATCGGTGGCTGAACCCTACTCCAACGAACCCCAAGCCTTCTTCTTTTCTTTAGACCCTAAATCGAACACCTAAACAAACAAAAAACTTATAGCCCTAAGAGAAACCTTCTACCAAAACCCAAACCTCCTCCCGCTCCACCATAGATCGACGAATTTTCGCCATTCCAACCCAAAACTACCCTAAACAACAAAAGGCTTCCACTTTATTCTTACCCACAACCCAAACACTCATAAAATGACCAAGTGAGACCTCTTACGGCCGAAAAGTCCCTATCTTTGGACTTCCGGCCACCCAGAATGCCTAAAGAAGAAACCTTTACCTCCCCGACGACCTTCGACCGAAGAAACCCCCCCGAGCCAAAGGTAAAAGACTATCTTTTATTTCATTTTTTGTTTTTTATTTCGAAATAAGAAGAAATATTTGCATGCAAAAGGTAGAAAATACCTTTGAGAAATTGATTGTTGCTTGATTTTTTATTATATTGATTTTCGAATACTCCTTTGATTTTTCTATTGATTCCCCTTTTTTAACATATTTTCGGAGTGGATTTTATAAAACCCCTCTATATAAAAATAGAATAGAAACAAAGCTCTTTCTATGTAGTTTCTTCCCATTTCCCTCTTTTATTTTTGTCTTACATGTGGTGGTCTGATGAGGGATCCGATCGTGCATGGGTTGTAATAAATACCCCAGATTCCCAACGAGTTGTCACAGCTCGGTTTGGCGCCAGGGATGGCTTGATGATATGCGCGATTGGAAAACAAGGATTCCCTATTGGCGGTGGCGGCGTTGTGAGTTATCAGCTTGGGTGCTTTAATAGGTTTTTTGAAAAGCCTAGTTGTGCATCGATCTAAACCATTAGATGAGGTTCAGACCTAACGGTCTAGGGTGAGCGACGGTTGAAGAAAAAATATGAAAACCCTAACTGTTGTTGGGTCATTTCATATGGGCTTTAGTTGAGTTTGATTGTGATTGGATCTGATTTGTATTTGGATTTGCTTTTATAATGGACCTCACGTGTACACATATGTAACAGACTAAAAATTGGACTCATATAAAATATAATGTCTATAATATATTATAATATATTGTAAGTTTATTTAATATATATACCCCACCCTCTTAATTTTCTTTTATTTTATATAATCTTCTTAAATTTAAGTTATTTTTACTTGGGGTTATCAACTTCTTCAATTATTTCTTATCTCCCCCTACACAAACATTTATGACCATCCCTCATTTCTTTCTTTATTTTATCTGGTTATGATTAGTTAAAACACCTCCGAAGGTGGTCTTTGGAAACTTCCAAGCCTTCCTCAGATCTAATTTACTAAAATTGTTAGAACGTCATCAATTGAACATGTCCTTTTGCTTACTAGAGCCTTCAACAAACCAATATCCTCTGGTTACATTATTTTCTAGTCAACTACAATACATAGATAAGACCTCTAATAGGACCACATGATTTACCAAAATATGATCTAAAGTCTGACAATCATATCTATATTCCTCGTTAGTTCACAAATTGTCATGATAACCCTAGCACACGCACTAAAGGTCAATATAAAAACCCCTAACCAAGATTGCAAAAGGGACTAGAACCTTCCACAATCTACACCAACTTTTTTCTTCTTTATTATGATAATCTCCCTCTCAAAGAAAAACATCGGCCAATGGTCATTTCCTCGTCGACTGTTTCTATACGACCAAATCAGAGGAGATAAACTACCATCGATCGACGAGATAAATTTATTCCTATCAACATAATTTTTATGATCAAAGTTGGTTTCTCATTCCCTAAAATTAAATTACACTCCATTTAAAGAAACCAAAAGTTATACTTCATTGTAATTATTTCATTTGAATCAAATGGTTAAGTTCCAAAGTTTATGAACCAACATAAAACTTGTTTAAAAGTAAAAAGGTCATTTGTTCAATTAATCTATTTAAAGGCTTAATATAAAAATAAGTGTCTAAACTATACCTCAAAATACATTTTAGTGGCTAAAGATTTATTTTGCTAAAAATAGATACCTAACATTTTCTCCGTTACACTTTTAGGTGCCTACCATTATTTTTTCTTTATTTTTTTCATAAAAATTAAAAAAAATCAAACTCTACTTCCCCTCGTCATCCCTCTCCCTCCTGTCGCCCCACCTCTTACGGTGAACGGCCACCAAAGGTCGGGTTTTGTTCGAAAAACGACGAGAAACACAACGATTTCAGCTATGTAACTTACGGATGGATGTAGCATCGAAGCCACTGAAAAACTTAAACGAAAAATCGAAAAATCTGACCACCCTTCACGGTATTTTTCACAACGATTGACGTAGTTTTACAGTGGATGGGGATTGGATTTGACAAGATGGTTCTAATATTATAACCGGTAAAGGCAACGGACAAACGAAGGAAAATATAAAATTTATGGTTTTTTTTGTTCCTTTAATTATAATATTAATTTTTTTAAGAAAAATATTTTTTAAAATTTTATATATGTAACATATGTCATACAATGGTCAAATCTAACAGTTGTTACGATTTAAGACCTAAAAATATAAACGGTGAAAACTTTAAACACTTATTTTTTTTAAAAATTCTTTAAGCATTAAATCATATTTTAAAATATAATTTAAATACTTATTTTTGTATTAAGTAAAAACATAATTAGGAGAGGCGGACAAATAAGTAGAAAAAGGATGGAAAAATATCATACTCGATGCCTTTGAGGAGACCAAGTTTTATCATAGGGGATAGCTTCAGTGCGACAGACTAAAAAACGGCTAAAATAAGGCGCTACCGGTTTTGTTATTGTGTTAAATAATAAAACCGATAAAAATTACCGGAAACATTATTAGGCACTACCAGTTTTGTTATTATTGGGTGTTTTTTACCGGATTTTCAAAAAAAATATCGGAAACATTAATAAGCTTAAAAAATGACCGGATTAACATAATATTTTAGGTAATTACCGGAAAAATTTAGGTAATTTTTACCGATTTTATTATTTAAACGATAACAAAACGGATAACACCTTATTTTAGTCGTTTTTAAGCCTACCGCACGGTAGAACTTCCCTTTATCATAAGAAAACCGGACCCACAAAAACAGATAACCAATAACAATTATTTAAATATGATCATTTATTTAATAAACAATATAATAACCACACAAATAAAAAAATAAAAAGGAAAAACCCACACAAATTCTCTCTTTTTAATTCTCTTTACGCAAAATGTTTGCCGTTGCGCATGGTTTTCAGAACCGGACCGGTTAGTGAACTGGTCATGCTACCGGTTCACTGGTTCAACCAGTCGAACCGATCCGACCGGTCGGAAGAACCGGATGACGTCATAATTATTTAAAAAATTAAATAAAAATACCAAAAATATTTAATAAAAAATAATTTTTTATATCACAAGTCATATTCAAAGCAAGTCATAACATATATAAGTTAAAAACCATAAAATCAAGTGAAACAAAATGATTCAAATTAACTACAACATAATATTTAAGGTAAAACATATTAAATAATAAATATAATTATATAACTATAATTAAAAAATAAATTTGGGGTTAAAAAAATCATAACAAAATTATATAACTATAATTATATAACTATTCTTTAACTTCTCGAATTTTAGGCTTCAATCGAGCTTCTAATTTTTTTTTTGAGTTCAAGCCTTTTCGAGTTCAAGTTTCAATATTATATTTCGAGTTTGAGTTGAACTTGATAATTTTTAGCTTGTAAGTTTGAGTTGAGTTGAGCTTACTTTTAAAGTTTTCAAGTTTGAGTCGAGCTCAGCAATACTCGAGTTCGACTTGGCTCGTTTAATAAACGACGTTGTTTGGTTTAAATTTTTTTTAAAGAAAACAAAAATCCCGGTTTTTCCCGGTTTTTTCCAGTTTTCAGCCGGTCTGGTTCGAACGGTTCAACGGTTCTGGCCAGTTCACTAATAGCGGTTCAACCAGTTTAGATTGAATCAGACTAAGCAACGGTTCCCGGTTGAACCGACCGGTCCGATTGTCAAAACAGAGACGTTGCGTTAACACACTTTATTTTTCCACCGCCTTTTTCTCTCCCCCAAACATCTCTGATTTTCCCTTTCTTTTTTTCTATTTTCTCCCCGAATTCTCCTCTAAATCTATTTCCTCTGTATTCTTCTTCTTCTTCTTCTACTACCTTTCCCATTTCTCTGATAAGAAAGAAGGAATCAAAGATGAAGAACGACAACCTTTGCGAGCTTTGCAAAGAAGAAGCCTCCGTTTACTGCTCGGCAGACTTTGCTTTTCTTTGTTGGAACTGCAATTACAAGGTTCACCGGGCTAACTTCCTCGTGGCTCGTCATGTTCGTCGGGTTCTCTGTGAAAAATGTGACGATTTTTGTTCTTGTGAAAAACCCAACGACACAATGCCCTGTTCTTCTGATTGTTTGTCCACCAGTGAATCTTCTACCAACGATTCTAAACCCCAAAGGGTTTGCGTAAAATCAAGATTATCGGCCGGTTCGCAGTCGGAGGTTTCGGATGATATGGAGCGCGTTTTGATGGTTTGGTGCAAGAAGCTGGGTTTGAAACGACATTCTGTGATGCCTACGGCGGCGGCCGTGTTGCGGTTTTGTTTAGAGCGATTGAAGGGGCTGCCGTTTAGGCTGAGCTTAGCGGCTGCGATTTGGTTGGGGATGAAGATAACCCAGGAAACATCGGTGGCGTCGTGGCGGAACTTGTGGAGGATTGAGGAGCTGTCGGGTGTGCCGGCGAAGGTGATCGTGGCGGTGGAACCAAGGCTAACACGTGCGATGGGGTTTAGGAAGAGAATCGAACAGGACTTGGAAGAAGGATGGGATGAATGCAATGTTTGAATAAAGACAAATTATGTATGTTCTAACTTCAGTGGAAACCAAAACGATGAAGATGTAGAAGTATGCTTAGAAGGACACATTTTCCCCTCAAATGATTGTTTCAAGTACCTAGGGTCTATGATACATAAAAATGGGGGGTGTAGATGAAGACGTTACACACCGTATAAAGGTGGGATGGCTAAAGTGGAGGGCTACTACTGGAGTTTTGTGTGACAAGAAGGTGCCTCTAAAACTAAAGGGAAAATTTTATAGAATGGCAATAAGACCAGCGCTGATGTATGGATCAGAATGTTGGGCAATCAAGAAGGATCACGTAAGGATGATAGAGGCCGCATAAATGAGAATGCTTCGATGGATATGTGGTAGGACTCTGTGGGACATGACACCTAACTCTGCTATTAGGATGTACTTGGGGGTGGTGCCTGTATCCGAAAAATTAAGGGAGGGAAGATTACGGTGGTTTGGGCATGTCCTTAGGCGACAACCGTCGGATGCGGTCAGGAGGGTAGAGTCGATTACAGTCGACGGTGTCAGAAGGAGAGGACGACCAAGACGGAAGTGGGAAGACTGCTTGAGATCTGATTTGAAGGAATTAGCCCTTACCGAGGACATGACCTCCGATAGGAAAGTATGGAGACTTAAGACCAGGGTAGTTGAGTAGTGCGGTTCACAGCCATAGGGTGTAACATCTCTGTCTTCTTTTTAATGTCTTTGTAGTACTTTCCATGACTTCTACTTTATACATGTTTCTGTCATTGAAATGTATGAAGGCTTAGAACTAGGGTATCGGAGTAGTGTTGCCTTAGTTTAAGAATTAACTCATTTGAATTTATTCCTTCTCGTAGCTTGCTATTATTAACTTCTGTGTATCATTTCTATTCATGTTTCCTCTTTTTAAATTTAGCGGGGTCTTACATTTTCAGTCTATATGCAGAGATTTCTATGTAGGGAATTATTTGCAGGGAATTATTTACAGGGATTACTCCCCATTACAGTCGCACATATCAAGACTGCATATGAAGACTGTTCATCTATGTATTTATTTATTTATTTATACACGCATTTGCATATTATCTTTATTTTTAATTTTCTGACTGCCGGAGGTCTTCCACGGAAGCTGCTCTCAACCTGGCGTTGGGGTCACCTACTACCCTACCTCCCCTTACCCCATTGCATATGAGAATCAGGGTTTTGTTGTTGTTGTTGTTGCCTTCTTTTAATTTGGACTAGTTTTAGGGTTTTTTAATTAGATTAAAATTAAATGTTAATTTTCAACTACTTACACCCGTGGACATGATGAAATTAGTGTTTTTAATTCTCACCAAAAACATGTAAATTTTACAACTCCAACTTAAATTAAAAATCTGTGGAAATTAAAAATATACACTTATTAGCTTTTTTTCAATAGGAATAAAATTTTCTTATTTTCAATAAATAAATTATAATCAGGCTAATATATTTACTATAGACCTCATTTATTTATTTCTAAAACTTTGACATTAGGTTAATTGAGATTTAGCACATATATTTTCATAGAAAAATTAATGAGTATTATTAATTTAATTTATAAAAAAATAAATTTTAAAGAATTCTATAAATATAAATTAGTTAAAAAATAAAAGTAAATTATTTAAAATAAATGGTAACTTATATCAGTGACCATTTCACTATTGCCTTTTTTCCTTTTGATCATTATTTTTTAAAATTTTATCAATCATGTCATTCAACTATTTAGATACATTTAATTAAGCTACTTACCGTTAATATTTAACAGAGAAATTCATGTGACGGTTAAAATATTTGGTATAATTACACATTTGCTCACTATTACTTGTATATTCTATCAATTTGGTCCTAATTTTAATTTATTAAAATTAAATATTATAAAAAATTATTAGATATATTTATAATATTATTTTTTTATAAAAGTATTTTAAGACTAAAGTATTGATTAAAGTACAAAAAAAATTAAAGAATTGATTTTAGGATAGAATTTACAAAAAGAATTGCACTAAAAATTCAAGTTGAATAAAATATAGGGTAAATTTGATAGTTAGTCACCTAATTATTCGTGTAGTTCGTTTTAGTCACCAAAATAATTTTTTTTTTCAAAATCATTACTAACATTACATTTTTTGTTTTATTTTAATTAACAATCGTTAAAAATTTAACGGTGATGTTTACAAGTCAACATAAGGTAATGCCAAATATCATCATTGAAAAAATAAAAAAATGTCAAGTCAATAGTTCTGTTAATTTTTAATAGTAGATGATCAAAATGAAATCAAAACCTAACATTAGTGAAGATTTTGAAAAACAAATAATTAGATAACCTAATAGAATCAAAGTAATATTTAAGTGATTAAATACGTAATTAATCTTTTTTTAGTTGAAAAACTTTCTTTACCTGTGATAAGAAAAAACTTTTAAAATTCATATTAATTTGGAATAAGTACAAGATGATATGTGTTCTAAGAAAACTCTCAATAATTTGTAGTTTTAATGTTTGAACCCAAAACCTCTAAAGATAATAACCAATTCTTTAACTATTGAAGTCTTTATAATTTGTGTCGAAATTCAAATTTTAGCTTATATTATAATTTTCCTTTTTTTTATACATGGTCAAGTTTGATTAAGATATTTTCGAATTTTGAGCTAAAACTAAAAAAATAGATTATTATATAATGAAAAAATATCCTCTTTTCATTAATAAATTATAGAAAAAAGATTACATTTTATCAAATATATTATGTTTATTTTTTTATTAAGAAAATAATTTATATACAATTCAAAGTGAATAAATAAAAAATATATGAATATGATAGGAAGCCTAATTTCGAAAATAAAAAGTGGAAAATAATAATTTTATCATTACATTGATAATAGGAAAAAAATAAAACTTAAATAATAGTTGATAAATAAAAAGTGAGATTTTAAAAAATGTAATTAAATTTAATTGAAATTGAATAAATTAATAAAAAAGATAGAAGAGAAATTGAGAAATTAAGAATTTTATAAAACTAAAAAATGAAAGCCCTCATTGTAAAGGTAAAAAAAATCTAAACATGTATTCAAAGTGTTTCCCTTGTAATTGATTAATTATGTCACATAAACTCATCTGAACAAATAAAAGGTTGACTAAGTAAACTTTGAAAATATTTGCTATTTGATCGCAAGTTCTTATTGAATGACAGCTCTGAACAACAAGTTTGAAATGTTACAAAATGAATATTTTCTTAATAAAAATATATTGAAACTGAAAATGTGTGAGTGTCGCTTGAGTGATGTTGGATGAATACGTTTTGAATCTATATCTAATAGCGGTCCCTTGCTATCATATCAATGCTAAAACCATAATTGCAAATTATTTTTGTTTTATATAGATTTAGGATTGTTACATGAATAAAAATAAGTGATTAAGATTAATAGTGAAAAATAAGAAGATATTAACTGAAAAATAAATAAGGAGTTACTCTCAACCATCTATTTTCAATCATCTAACAATCCTAAATCTGTGTAAAACTAAAAGAATTTTATATTTTACAAGTAGATAATAAAAATATTTTACGAGACAGAGAGAGTATCTCAACAATTATTTTCTGAACTAGGATGATTGATGCAATGCAACGAGGAAGACTCATAGAGCACTAAGAGTCTTCAGCTTTGTCGGGGAAGACTCCAGGATTGCAATGTGTCTTCAGCTCTATGAAACCCCGTGAAATTGAAGAATCGTTGTAATTTTGGAATCTTTCCCAGTAAAATTGAATATTCGTAGTGCTCCATAACTCTTCCCTATTGCACTGTAACAATCACTCAATTCTTGTAAATAATTCTCAAAGTGCATTAATTTAGGAAATTTTCTTTTCCAACACATTATCTCGAGAAAATTGTGATGAAAAAAATTAGTGAACTTTTAATTAAAACAACATAAAATCACTATAATTTAAGTTGTTCTATTAACTGGTTTGATTAACTGATATGGATAGTTTATTCATAAAAGTCGAGATTACAAGATTAAACATAAATTTAAATTAGTATAGTTTTATAAAAAATTATTAGTATGAGGTGAATACAATGTAATATTTGTTTGAAATATTTTTAATCATATGAAAATGAACCCTCATACACCCTTGCAGACGTCGCACTTGAACCTGAGACTTCAAGGAATAACAACAATCTAAGTTGTAACACTCTGAAAATTGGTCTAAGTTTTTCTCAACATTTGATGATTGAGAAATTTTTCCCGCATGTTTTTTTTGTATTTGACAATTTTGAGATTTTAAACAATTTTATTTTATATTGTGGATTATTGAATAATTGAATTTGAATTTATATTAATACACTTATTTTGCTAGCTTGACTCAAATGCTCAGAGTACTCAAAAGGAGTAAGTTAGCTAGGTGTACGTTTCTAATGTAGAAATTTGGGATATCACCCTAGGTACCCAAGGGTACATAAGTAGGTTAGAGGAGTGTGAGTCGCGAGATGCAGTAAACCCTCCGACTACACTATGATGCCTACCTCAACATGTGTGTTTATTGTTCTTGTATACTTATGTCTATACTTACTGACATGCACATATGATGAACACATGTAGTATAATAGAGTCATTAGTGTGGCATTGAGCTCTTGAGCTCAGCGTTCAGAATTCGTTTCCGTGCACAGATTCTTAGGAGAAGCGTTGAGGACCTTATCACCCAACTTGCATTATAGATCGTTCAAGGTACATAATACGTCTTGAGTTTATTTTTTATGACATGTACTATTCATAGACCCTTGTGTATTCGTGTTATAACTTTATTTTGATATAACTATTATGATTTTTTTAGGGATGTATTCGAGAGTTGGCTATTTTTGTAAACTTGAGTACTTATATTTCCAGACACGATTTTAATCGATGGCATTTTAATGATTATTTACAATGTTGTTTTAAAAGAATTTTTTTTGGTTTAGTCACTTTGGTGATTCTGTGTAATGCTTTAATCCTTCAATCTTTTGAT